TTTTTATTTATTTTATTTTAAAAATGATTTTTAAAATAAATTTTTAAATTTACACCAGCCCTGGCCGGTGTAGCTTAGTGGATTGAGTGCGGGACTGTGAACCAAAGGATTTGGGTTTGATTGCCAGTCAGGGCACATGCCTGGGTTGCAGGCCAGTTCCCAGCAGGGGACGCAGAGAGGCAACCATACATTGATATTTCTCTCTCTCTCTCTCCTTCCCTTCCCCTCCAAAGATAAATAAATAAAATCTTTAAAAAAATACAGTAGTGTATTAAGTCCACTATGGTCCCCTTTATCAGCTTGTTACATTTCTTACTAAACACACACATTTCTTTAGTGTGCTGGGGCTGCATGAGGAAAGCATCACAAGCGGGTGCCTTAAACAACAGAAATTTATTGTCTTGCAGCTCCTGGGGCTGGAATTTCAAGACCAGGGACTTGGTCTGAATTGGGTCCTACTGAGAATTGTAAGGGAGAAGCTGTTCCATTCCCTCTTCCAGCTGCCAGTGGTTTGCTGGCAGTCTCCGGCATTTCCAGCTTGTAGAAGCATCACCTCGTCTCTGCCTCTATAGTCACATGACGTTCTCCCTGTGCGTGTGAGTCTGTGTCCAAATTCCTCCTTCATATAACATCACCAGTCATCTAGTGCGTGACAGCCCAGCCCACTCCAGTGTGACAGCTAATTCCATCTGCAACTGCTCTGTTTCCAAATAAGGTCATAATCTAAGGTCCTGGGGGTTAGGACTTCCTCACATGAACTTTAAGGGGGCACAATACAAAGTCCCACACATGCCTACGCATGTGCATGTGTATTTATCCCTATTAAAAGCTCTGAGGTCAGATCTTGCTTTTGTGATCACACTGCCCCTTGCTGTAAACATCAGCTTGCAAATCTGCTCCTTCCACGTAGTAACCTTTCTCCGAGTGCCTGCTTCAGTCCCTCTGACTCTGGGTAACATCCCACCGAGGGACTGGCCCAGCCCGAGTTAGCGAATCCTGGCTGATGCACCTTAGGGTCCTTCCCAGCGTCACAGCCCCAGCTACACACGTCCTGGACCTGCTTTCAGGGGTCCATGGACTACTGTGCCAGGGTAAGAAGGATATCATGAAATTGATGGGTTGTGGCCCTTGTCATTTAAAATTTTAATGCCTATTTCCCAACATGGGTGGTTCAACTCTTCTCCACCCTCAGGAAGAGTCAGGGTGTAGGCAGCGCTCCTGGGGCTTTATCACAGAATGAATTCAGTACAGGGGGTCACTTCAACGAGGTTGAAAGACTGAGAGTGGAAAAGGGAAGCACAGGGGTAGCAGCTGCTGAAATGAAAAGGTGTGGGGACAGGGACCTCAAGTGTCTGAGAAGACGGTACTCCCAGATGCTCAGTGACGTAGTGCTGAGCCCCAGCTGTGTGGCTTGAGCAACTTACCAAAACTTTCTGTTCCTCAGTTTGCATCTCTGTGAAGTGGGAGAGTAATGACCTCATGAAAGTAGTGAGGTCATTGGAAGGATTGAGTAAGTTTAATTCAAGCTTGGTGCTCAGAACCAGACCTGATGGGTCCCTGCTACATGAAGTGTTAGCTATTATTGTCCCCCAAGAATCAAACCAAGAATTTTCTAGTGCAGGGGGTTCCCACCTGGGACGATTCAGTCTCCCAAGGGACACTGGGCCACGTCTGGAGACATTTTTTGGTGGTCATGACTGGGAAAGAGAGATGCTCCTGGCATGGAGTAGGTGGAGGCTAGGAGTGTTCCAGTGCACAGGACAGCTGCCTCTCACACAAAATGATCTAATGTCACATGCCCGCCCCCCAGCCACCCTGTGGTCTAAAGACATTTGTGTTCAACCTCAAAATCCTCCTTCCCCTTTCTCCTTCCACACCCAAGCCCTAGTCATCCTGGGCTTCAGTCAGAGAAAGAAGATTAAAGGGAAAAATCCCACCCCCTCCCTCTGTCTCCTCCCCAGGTCCGACGCTGGACTGGGGCCATCAGGACATCAGATTTCTGGCCAGGGGAGCGGAGGGACGCTGGTCTAGCGTCAGGGGCAGCTGGGGATGCTCTGGGGATATGGGAGGCTCTTTGCGTCTCTCCTGACTCCAAACCTGTCTGTTTGTCCTGTTCCAAGTGCTGGGCATTCATCTCTCCTTCCGAACCTCCCTCCCTCTCCAGGGGGGTCAAACTCATTTTCACCAGGGGCCACATCAGCCTTACAGTTGACTTCAAAGGGCCGAATGTAATTTTAGGACTGCATGAATGTAACTACTCCTCAAGTTAAGCAAGAGCTCGGTGCTGCTGCCGGATAGAAACAAGGTGCCGGGCCAGATAAAACAAGGTGGAGGGCCAGAATTGGCCCGCAGACCTTGTGTTTGCCACCTGAGATCTAGGCAGAGCCATGTCTGATCTTCCAGCAAATCGAATCCCCTCTCTCGGTTGGGGCGCAGATGCCCTCCACTGGTTGCCCAACCTGCAGCTGAGGCCTGCCTTGGAATAAACCGCCCCGTCCCCACCCCCGCAGGACTTTTTATCTGATCCCCAACCCCCACCCCACATTATTTTCTCTCAAAACCCTACCTTGGGTCCTCGGTTCTAAAGTCCTGACTCACCTGCCATTCAATCAGCCTTCCAGGTCTCATTTCTTCAGCCGAGCCCCTGACTGTGGGGGACTGGGAGGATCCAGCTTTGTTCTTGTTCCTCAGACTAGGGGCTTCAAATCTTTAGGGCCCCAGCATTGCTTAGCATAAGGCCAGACCCACTGAATGAATGACTCCATGAATGAATGAATGAATGACATGACTTTGGGGCAGCTTCCCAGCTGGGCCCCAATACCAGGGGAAGCCCTGTTCCTGCCTTCCCCACAGTCAGGGCCAGGACATAGCCAGCTCCAGCAGGACCAGAACCCAGAGAGGTGTTGGGCTGCCCCCTCTTGCTGGTGCTTTGTCTGCCCCCGGGGGCTGCCAAGGATGTTCCCCTGGGTTCCTGTCCCACCCAGGAAGCTGATGGAAGAGTGAATACTGAGCAGCCTTTTCCTTTTCAGGTAGGCCCTCCTCTGCTGGGGAATACAGGTAACTCGAAGACAATGGTCACACATTGCTCAGCCCTCTAGTACCAGGAGGTAGTCTAAGCCTCAGTGTTCTCAACTGGAAAACGGACAATGACGTGATGTAAAATCTCCTAAGGGTGTCATGAGATGAAAGGAGGCGAGGAATGGAAATAAAAAGCTTAAGCGAGTATTTTCAAAAGTCATCTTTCCTTTCTCTTGGCCAAATCTAAAGGGAGCCTGCCGCACAGGGAGGAAAACATTCAGGTTCTTATCTTCCCTCATCTCTTTATCTCCCCCAAAGCGGTCTAGCCTTATCTCCGCTCTTTTGCTGCATTCTCTCTCTCTCTCCCTCCCCCGTGACCCCACCCATACCCATTTTTCAGGCTTCTTTCCAAGAAAGAGAGTGTGTTTTGGTGGGTGGTCTATGTCAGTATGGAGACTGAGCGGGCACCATTTCGGCTGCCTGAACCTCAAGTTTATAAGTCTGTCTGTTCCCCAGTTTCCGTATGAATTTCTGATTCTCTGCCTGTATGTGCACCATTCAATTGTTCGACAGATATTTATTTTCATTCTAGTTAAATGTGTTGGGGTAACAGTGGTTAATAACATTATATAATTATTCAGTGTACAACTTTGTAACCCGACATCTATGTTCTCCATTGTGCACTTGCCACAAAAGCCTAGTCTCCTTCCCTCACCATGGATTTTACTCTTTTCCTCCTTCCTCCTCCCCCAATAGCCTTCCCTCTGGTAACTACCCTTCTATTCTCTCAGATACCTCTTGAGCTCCTACCTAGGCATTGCTGGGGACAATGCAGTAACTAAGACTGCCCTGATCCCTGCCTCCATGTGGATTACAGGCCAGCGGGGCAGACAATTACAGCCCCGAGGGGGAGAGAGCAGATGTCAGGGTTGTGATGGGGTAGACCAGGGCACTGTGGGAGTCCAGAGTAACAACTGACAGGGAGCCAGGGGGTGCTGAGAAGACTTTCTGGCTAAGAATATTAACAGCTAACACTTCTATCACTGTTAAAATATATTATACCCATTCTAGAGCTGGGGGGACTGAGGCCCCATGAAATTAATGGGCTTATCCCAGCTCGGTCAGCTAGGAGGGGTGCTGGTCTGGCCCCCATGATTCTGGCCATGCAGGTTTAAGACCATTGCTGGAGGAGGCCTGGAGGCCAGGGCCGGGGTGGTGGTGGGGTAACTATATTCAGTGTTTGTTCAAACTTGAAACCGCTTGGTGCGGTAACCTAGCTAGCTAGTCTGGGAGGGCAGTTGGAGGAGGGTGGGGAAGCGCCCAGGACCCTGGCCGCCCAAGTGCATACACCTGACTCGCTGACAGGTGAGCATAGTGCGCTCCTGAGCCGCTCTCTGCATTAGAAGAAACTTGCTCTGTCTCCTACCCAGCTGGGCGAGAAATTCCACCTGGGGCGCTTGGCACATTCAAAGCTCGTTAAATGCCAGCTGGTGTTATTATGATTATTATCCCCATTATTATCCTCAATAACTAATTAATTAGAACTAATGCGTCCTCTTCGCGTCCGATTGGGTCTCTCCCGGCCAGGAAGTCACCGGACCCCGTGGAGAGGAGAGCTGGGGCTCAGACCTCGCCTAACGCACGATTCAGCCCACCCCGTTCCCCTCAGCCCACATTAGGCCTTGAAAAGCTGCGAGAAGGCTGCTGTGGGGAGTACCTGGCAGCCGGAGTCTGGGTGGGGGCGACCCTTGCGGCACCCCCCAACTTCCGTGAAGAGTCCCGCAAACCCAAAGGACAGTAGAGTGCTAAAACCAAGAGGCTCGGTCGCCGCCTGGTGCGGAGGCCAGGCTAACCCCGAGGCCACGCCCATTTCCCCGAGGATTGGCTTTTCCGCACCGGCACCCAGCCCGGATTGGCTAAGGAGGCCGCTGCTCCTGGGATGCCCCGCCCCTCTCCGCTTAATCCGTAGATTCGGGTTCAAAGGGTTCACCCGCCCCGCAGCGGCTGGCGCGCCGGGTGGGGTGGACAGGGTGGATCCAGTCTGTCAGGGAGAGAGGGGCTCCAACAGCCAATTTCAGGGTCCCGTTTTCTACGCGCCCGACGGCCCAGCCCCAGTCTGGAGCTCCGTCATGGGCCCGGGGCCCCCGGCGAACGGAGCGGGGATGCCCCCGCGGCCTCTATCCCTGGCGGCCCGGTTGAGCTACGCCGTGGGCCACTTCCTCAATGACCTGTGCGCGTCCATGTGGTTCACCTACCTGCTGCTCTACCTGCACTCAGTGCGCGCCTACAGCTCTCGCGGCGCTGGGGTGCTGCTGCTGCTTGGGCAGGTGGCCGACGGACTCTGCACGCCCCTGGTGGGCTACGAGGCCGATCGCGCCGCCGGCCGCTGCGCCGGCTACGGGCCGCGTAAGGCCTGGCACTTGGTTGGTAAGTCGCGGTCGAGCCGCCCCCATTCATCTGCCTGCCTAGTGCTCCCTGTGGCCTGAGCCTCCCCCTCTATGTCTGCCCCCGGGCCTGGGCCAACCCCCTCTGCTTAACTGCCCTGCTCCCCTTCCGTCTCTCTGTTCCATGGCCTGAACCTGCCCCCGTTGTCTCCCCGTGTTCTGAGTCTCCCCGTGTTCTGAGTCTCCCCACCTCTGTCTGCTTCATGGTTGCTTGACCGACCCGCCAAGCCCTCTTCATCTGACTGTTGGTGTTTCTCTGCAGTTTTGTTTCCCTTTGTCTCTCTGACCCCTGGGGGGTTCCCTGAACCACGTTTGGGTTGGGTCTGACTGGCCAGCGCCTCGTCTGTCAGTCTGACTGGTCTAGCTTGACCTGTCCATTTCTGTATCAGGGTGACCATCAGGACAACTCGGTGTGAGTGAGGGTCAGACCTTCTAGAGCAGGGGTGTCAAAGTCATTTTCACCGGGGGCCACATCAGCCTCTGGTTGCCTTCAAAGGGCTGAAATAATTTTAGGGCTGTATAAATGTAACTACTCCCTCACTGTTAAGGAGTTGAAATTACATTCCACCTTTTGAAGGCAACCTTGAGGCTGATGTGGCCCCTGGTGAAAATGACTTTGACACCCCTGGTCTAGAGTCCCCCTCTGTGTATCCCTTCTCCCCCATCTCAGGCAACCTTAGGTGTTTTGGAGGAGCTGCCCTGGCAGCTGGGGGTGGGGGAGACAGAGGGGCTGGGGGTCTGTGCCTGACAAATTGGGATGGAGTCTGAGGGCAGATGAAGGGGTTGCACTCTGGCCTGGAGCCTTTACTTGCCTAGAGGGCTGTCAGGAGAGTAGGTGGCAGGTCCTAGGGGGCCAGGGTGCCTTGCCTGTGAGCACTGATGATAAGGCCTGCGTCCACGCATCCCTTCTCTCCCGCCCAGGCCCTGGACTTGGAGATTAGCCCCAGCCATATTCCCTGCTGTTCCTACCCTGGCAGGAGTGCCTATACCCTGGCATTGGGGGCCTACCTGGCATTTCAGGAGGCAGGGCCAGGAATCCTGCCACTCAGGGAATTCTGGACAGCAGCTTTCTAGAAGGCTGGAAGGGGTGTCTGGTATTTTGCTGTCCTTGGGAACCAGTATCGGGGAGGCAGTGATTTCCCCTGGGCCCTTGTGAGTACCATTTTTTTTGCCAGCTGCAGCACATCTCTGAGTAGCCTGAGGGTGGCTGGCATCGCTGTGGCTACACTGCAGGCTGGATTTCAGGTGTGTCAGGTGCTCAGGACAGGACATTGCCTTTGGGGTTTCGATGGATGAATAGGAGCATGTGTGTGGGTGGGTGGAGCGACATTCCAAGAAGATGAAAAGGCTCGTGCAAAGGTGTGACCCATCATGGCTTTGAAGCTGCTGAGATGAGAAGTAGCTCGGAGTAGCAGGAGCACCGGCTTTCATACATTAGCTCTCAATTCCCACATATACCCCAGGAAGCAGGTATTTCCATTTTCTCCATTTCCTAGAAACTGAGGCCCAAAAAGGCAAAGTCACATGCCCAAGATCCCTCAGCCAGGCAGCCTAGCACATATAATGGTTAACTGGCCTGGGCAACAGCAGGGCGGAGTCCGGCCAGGGCAGCATGTTCTTCTGACCAGTGTCTCTGATTGGTGCCTGGCCCCCAGGCATCTGCTCAGGATTCCCCTCCCAGTTCCAGAGAAGGAACCTGGCTGGCTGGTTTTGGTTTCATTTCCTGATTCCAGAGCTGCAGGGGAGGGCCCAGGGTCTGGAGATGAGGTCATCTCCGGAGCCTGGGGGAGGAGGGAAGTCCAGCTGCCAGACTCCTTCCAGGGGCAGGGATGGGAGGAAAAGTGACTTAGACCTTGTATCCACCCCAACAGGGCCCACAGCCTGGTGGGGCAGGCAGGCAGAAAACAAGCAAACGGGCAAACAAGAATTCCCCAAAGAAATCAGGGTCCAGAATAGAATGTTTGGAGGTGGCAAGGGGACTGTTAGGGACTGAGCTGGTAAGGAACGGATTCTTTGAGGAGGTGGTGTTTGAGTTGAGTCCTGAGGGATGGAAAGGAGAAGAGCATTCCAGGCAGAGGCCATAGCCTGTGCAAAGGCCCTGAGGCAGGACTGTGCCTGGCATGTTGGAGAAACAGCCAGGAGCCTTCTGTAGCTGGAGCAGAGTGAAGGAGGGTGAGAGGAGGAGGTGTGGGCAGGGAGGGGATGGGGCAGGTCACGCAGGGCCTTGTGGGCCTTGTGGGCCTTGAAGAGAGCTTGGGCTTATTCTGAGATACTGGAATGTTTGCCAGGGAGAGGTTTTCTTATGAGCTGATGGGGACCCTGGAGCTCATGGAGGGCAGGGTCCATCAGCATCACCTGGCCTCCCGAGTCCTGTTGGCTCCACCAGATCCTTGATAGGAGTTGGGGAGGAAAAGCCTCACTCCCTGGGCAAGACAGAAAAGGGAAGTTGTGGGGGTGGAAATGGTGTGTCTGTAGTGGGCCTTTTTTCAGGGGATCCCCACAGCCCCCTTTAAATCTGCTGTGCGACCTCAGGCTCTTTGTGCTTCAGTTTCCCCACCTGTCAGGGGCAACTTCGGGGAGCCCGGAGTGGCCTGGGGAGGCTGCGCTCTTGCTCCCTCTTACTCCCCAGCCGTACGTCCTGGTCCTGCCTGCTCACCTGTTATGGTGTGTGGTCTCGGGACCACTCCAGCCTATTCTGTGTCTCAGTTGGACAAGAGGGACATATAGCTTGGACTGGTGGGTAAAGGCCTCAACCCTCTGTCCTCTTTGGCTGGGTGACTTCCCGTGGGCCCCAGATTTGTCTGCCTCAGTTGCCCCATTTGTCACAGGTGCCATAAGCCTGGGGCACCCAGAGCTGCTGACCCCACATACCCCACTGTGCGACTTTGGGATGATCTAGCCTTTTCTGTGTCTCTTTTTTCTTCCCACCGGGGCACACCCCCGGGAGCTCTGGGCCACTGTGGAAAGGTCTGGCGATGTGACCTGTCCCTGCTCTGCCCGTCTACAGGCACCACCTGCGTCCTGCTCTCCTTCCCCTTCATCTTCAGCCCCTGCCTGGGCTGCGGGGTGGCCACGCCTGAGTGGGCCGCCCTCCTCTACTACTCGCCCTTCATTGTCATCTTCCAGTTCGGCTGGGCCGCTACGCAGATTGCCCACCTCAGCCTTATCCCCGAGCTTGTCACCAATGACCATGAGAAGGTGGAGCTCACGGCTCTCAGGTACCACCTTGGTGGGATAGGATGGGGGGGGCACACACAGCAGGTGAGGGCACGGGACCTGGGGCCCCACTCTGTGTGTTGTCTCTGCGTGGTCGTGTGGCTCTGGGTCTCTCAGCCCCGGCTTATACTCCTGCAGTGCAGCGGATCAGCCACCTGCTGCTGCTTGCATGAACAACCACAGAGAAGCTTCAGACAGCATGTGCTTATCATGTCATGGTTTCGGTGGGTTAAGACTCTGTCTCAGCCCTGGCTGGTGTAGCTCAGTAGATTGAGTGCGGGCCTGTGAACCAAAGGATTTGGGTTTGATTCCCAGTCAGGGCACATGCCTGGGTTGCAGGCCAGTTCCCAGCAGGGGACGCATGAGAGGCAACCGCATATTGATATTTCTCTCCCTTTTTCCTTCCCTTCCCCTCTAAAGATTAAAAAAAAAAGACTCTGTCTCAGTTTAGCTGGGTTTTCAGCTTCAGTGTCAGTCTTGAGGCTTCAGTTGAGGTATTGGCTAGGGCTGGTCTCATCCAAGGCTTAGAATCCCTCCTCCCTGCTCATGTGGTTGGTGCCAGAATTCGCCTTCCTACAGATGGAGAGCTCAGGTGACTTGCTGATTCTTTGACACTAGCAGGAGAGTCAGATCCCAGAGATGGCTTAAGCCCTTTTTCCAAGAATCACCTGAATAGGTCAGACCTGACAGGATAAACTCATCTAATGGCATCTGCAAAATCCCTTCCCCTGTGCCACAGAAGTTGCCTAAATATGGGAATGACGTCCCCCTATATTCATAGGTCCCATCCCCGAAGGGAGGGGATTAGGCAGGGCAGGACCAGGGTATGGGAGTCTCCAGGGCCATCTTAAAATCCTGCCTGCCACAAGCGGGTTCAGTTGGCACCCAGCTTGCTCTGAGGAGGTTATTCTGGTTTCAGAGATCACAGGAGCGTTCCTGGAGAGCTTGCTGTATGCTTGGCACAGTTCCTGGCCCTTCACATAACAAACCCATGTTGTCACGTGCCCAGGGCCAGACCCATGTACCTATGGGATGTGTAAGGTAGGAAAAAGGTCCAGGAGGTGGCAGTTCCAGCCACAGGGAGAGCATGAGTAAGAGGGACCAGCTGCTGGAGCTCAGAGAGCCCAACTCACAGTGGCACCCGGTGGGTGGGTGTCACTCTTGCTGCTGGGGTACCATCTGCCTATCTCTAGTGCAGTCTGTCTGGCCCTGGTCTGACCTCCTCCACAACCACCTTTGAGTTCCCTATTATGACTGAGAGCCACAGGCGCTAACGACAGGGGTTGCTCAATGCCTGGGCCCCCAAGGGCCCTAGATGACAAGGGACAGGCTAGGTCAGGTCAAGCTCTGATGTGCTTTCTGCCCACAAGTGCTTTATTGCTAACCTCATGTCATCTCCACCGTGTCTTCTGGGTTAGCCTGGTTCTCACTTTTAGAAGGGAAGCTGACTCCTGGTGAGATCCAGAGGCTGCCCCCCCCCCCCCCGCCCACCTACCCTTCCCAGCCCCTGGAGAGGCCTGACTCCGGGGCTGCAGGCAAGAGCAGACCAGGTAATTCTAGACCTTTCCCTGCTGCAGCCCAGGATCTGGGCGCCAAGAATTCCTGGGTCCTGCTTCTGAACCCCTAGAGTTCTTACACTTGGACTGCAATCCCAACTGGCCCTGCTTTACTGAGGCTCTGCATTCCAGCCATCCCCCCCCTTCCCCGCTCCGGCGTGGTGGTTGGTGGTCAGAGTCGTAACTTATCAGATAATGTGCAGACTGGGGAAGTGGGGCTGGCAAGGGCTTCCTGGGATCACCCAAGGTTTGGTGGCTGAACTTACCCGTCAGCCAGAAGTTCCCCAGACTCTGCAAGCAGCTCTGTGTGGCTGCCTGGGGAGGAAGTGGCCACGTTGTTTCCCGGGCTGCCATGCTGAGGCCTCGCCTGCCTCTGCCAGGTATGCCTTCACCGTAGTGGCCAACATTGCCGTCTACGGTGCCGCCTGGCTCCTGCTCCACCTACAGACCTCTCCGCATTCGAATGTCAGCGATCAACTGGGAGTTCAAGATGTTCCAGTGTTTCGGGTGAGATGGGGCTGGGATGGGGGGCAAGGATGCTGCTGGCAGGATGGGACAGCCCCTATTTGGGGTCCTGAACTTGGGGCTTGGCCCGTGAGAGCCACTGTTGACGCGTCTCCTGCTGGATCCCCAGAACCTCTCCCTGTTGGTGGTGGGCGTCGGAGCCATCTTCTCACTGCTGTTTCACCTGGGCACCAGGGAAGGGCGCCGGCCACTGGTGGAGGAGCCAGATGAACACAGCCCCCTGCTGGCCCCCACCACAGCCCGCCCCTTGCTGCTCTGGAAACACTGGCTTCGGCAGCCGGCATTTTACCAGGTATGTCGTGGGGGCACGGCAGGCTGGAGCGGATGCCCATCTCCCACCTGGCCCCTACTGCGTGGGGTGGCAAGCGGGGACGTCCGATAGACAAGCCAACAGCGGATTTCCCATCCTGCAGGCAGCGCAGACACTGCTGATCAATTACTGCTCTTCTCCACCTGGCCAGCTATGGTCATTACTAGTGGACCAGACGACACCTGTGGCTAGGCTCCCAGTGTCCCCTGCTGGTGGGAGTAGAGAAGGGCCCTGCCTGGTCCTGAGTCATTCCCTGTCTGCCCGTAGGTGGGCGTGCTGTACATGAGCACGAGGCTCATTGTGAACCTGTCTCAGACGTACATGGCCATGTACCTCACCTACTCCCTCAACCTGCCCAAGGTGAGCTGGGCAGGGCGGGCAGGGCTGTGGGGCGGGCCCTGAGCCTGAGGAGCCCTTCCCGACGTGCCTGTGTCCTCTGCCCCAACAGAAGTTCATCGCCACCATCCCGCTGGTGATGTATGTCAGTGGTTTCTTCTCCTCCTTCCTCATGAAACCCGTCAACAAGTGGATTGGGAGGAATGTGAGCGTGGGGGTCAGCGGTGGACGGGGGTGGGGGACGCCACAGGCGGGAACCCTCAGAACTCAGATGCGCAGAACCCAGGTGATTCCATACCTTGGCCTCCATACCTCGGAGCTGCCCTGTGTCTCCAAACCATGTTCCAGAATCCTGGTCTCTGAGTGCCTTGGGCCTGCAGAGCTCTAGAAATTTGTGCCAGTCAGTGCACCAACCAGGGTGGCTACCGAATACTTGAAATGTGACAGGCACAACTGAAAAACTGAATGTTTCATTTTTTTTAAAGATGTTTATTTTTAGAGAGAGGGGAAGGGAGGGAGAAAGAGAGGGAGAGAAACCTCAGTGTGTGGTCACTTCTCGTGCACAGCCCCCCACTGGGGACCTGGCCCACAACCCAGGCTTGTGCGCTGACTGGGAATCGAACTGGAGACCCTTTGGTTCACAGGTTGGCACTCAATCCACAGAGCCATACCAGTCAGGGCTGAATGTTTCATGTTATTTAATTTAATGGATTTGCACTTAAGATGTAAATAGCCACCTCTTTCTAGAACTTCTGATCTCTGATGAAGTCAGAGGTGGGGATTCCTTAGCGATGGTCCAACTTGACCCCCCTCACTCTCTGGGGTTAGGGGCAGGGGTCAGGGGACCGAAGATCAGAGAGGGCAGGTGCCAGGCTGGGAGCTGCCCAGTGAGGCGGGCCTGATGCCAGTCTCCTCTGCAGATGACTTACTTCGCTGGCCTGCTGGTAATCCTGGTCTTTGCGGCCTGGGTGGCGCTGGTGCATGAGCTGGGTATGGCCGTGTACGCCGCAGCAGTGCTGCTGGGCTTGGGCTGTGCCACCATCCTCGTCACCTCACTGGCCATGACAGCTGACCTCATCGGTCCCCACACGGTAGGACTGGTGGGCAAGGCTGGGTGAGGGTTGGGGCCCAGGGCCCAGACCATGGGTGCTAATGCCCCTGCCTGTGTCCCCCCAGCACAGCGGAGCCTTTGTGTACGGTGCCATGAGTTTTTCAGATAAAGTGGCCAATGGGTTGGCAGTCATGGTCATTCAGAGCCTGCACCCCTGTTCGTGAGTGTGACTCATTTGTTAGTTCATTTACCAGGAGCGTAAGAGGGGGTGGGGAGAGGTTGAGAGCAAGCTGTGCAGGGCCTTGTGGAGGACTTGGGCTTTTACGCCCCCGGGGCAGGGGGTTGGGAGCCCTGGAGGGCAGTGGACAGAGGAGGGGTGGCCTGACTCCGGTGCTCACAGGCGCCCTCTTCTGCTGTGCCCAGGAAGACAGTATGTGGAAGGTGGGGACCAGGGTGGAAGCATCTACACTGGTTCAGCTGGGTGGTGATGGGCTGGACCAGGTGAGGCAGAGGAGGGAGCAGTGGGCAGATTCAGGATAGACTTTGAGGGCAGAGCTGACAGAGCTGGCAACGTGGGAGGAAAAAGGGTTGAGGGTGACCCATAGGTTCTGGCCTGAATGCTGGGGAAAACAGGGCTGCCCAAACTGAGGTGGGAGGAGTGGGAGGTCCAGGCTGAGGATGGAGGGTCTTCACAAGTGTCCACTCCAGCTCCTCCATCCTCTGTTGCCCCAGCTCGGAGCTCTGCTGCAGGGCCTGTGTGGGCTTTTACCACTGGGTCATGGTGGCTGTGACAGGCGGCATAGGCGTGGCCGCCACCCTCTCTGTGTGCAGTCTCCTCATCTGGCCCATCCGCCTGCGGAGCTGTGAGTTACACACAACCTCTGCCATTTCCCAACCTGGCTGTGGGTGGGGGGTGCTGGGACAGGCCCCACGCTCACTAACCCCACCCCTACCCTCTCTTGCAGGAGCCCCTGGAGTCCTGCCCTATGCAAAAGAGCTCAACTGCGCACTTTCCAGCCCCTGCTTCTCCAGTCCCCACCCCTCCCCTTCCTTGCCTGGCTGCAGGGATGGTGGGTGAGGACCAGATGGGCTGGACTCATCTCTGCTGGATGGGATGCCTAGCTGGGCCCCCTGGATACCAGGGGCCTATGGGTCCTCATGAGTTTGGGGATGCCCAAGCCTAATTCTAATGGATGACTTGGGGTGCCCCAAGTTGCATGGGGGCAGGATGTGAAGGTCTTGGGGCCCCAGGGCTGCCCTGAACTCAGCCCCAGCCCCACCTCACCCCCAGCATGGCTGGGGTCTCCAGGGCACTGCTGACAGTGATAAAGAGCCACTCGTGGGGAGGACGGGCCCCAGCCGTCTGCCTGGCCCTGGAACGCTGAGGGCAGCAGGGACCCCTGCCCGGGACCTCTGGCTAGTGACTCCCTTTCCCTGATTGACCAGCGCCCCGATCCCCAGACGTGAACATACATCCAGGGGCAGCATCCCCAGAGGGAGTCTTTATCAGACTGCAGATGTGTAGAGGGGTTGGGGTCGCTGGCCAGTGGATGGGCAGTAGGGTTCTAGGTCCCACTGCCGGTAGTTCTGGGCCGTGTAGCGCGGGCGCTGCAGTGCAGACAGGTAGGGCACGTAGTCTGAGGCCAGCCCCAGCGGCTCCACCCCGTACTGGTGCCTGTTAACCACTGTGGGACAGGACTCAGGTCACTGCCTGGGTCCAGCTTCCTGGACCCAGACGGTTTTACCCCCAGCCCCAGCTACTGTGATGCCAGCCTTACCATATTCCTTGCCCCAGATGGGTCTGTCTTTCCACAGCATGGTCCCCCACCGTGGGCTGCGGACCCTGTACTGGGCGGGCACGATGGGGTCATACCAGGCAGTTTCCCGGAGGTGCTGGGCGTAGGCTGCAGAGAGAGAAGTGGGTGTAGTGGGGGAGAAGGTCATCTCTGGCCCTCCATCTCTTGGGGTGGCCTGCGTCAAGGCAGGTGACCAGGCACTCACCTGAGGGCATGCTGTGCTTCCGGTGGCTGTAGCATCCAAGCCAGTGGGCATAAGCCTCGCGGTAGGGGATGTCCAGGGCCCTTGGTAGTGTATACCAGGCTTCGCGGAAACCCGAGTTGGTTAGGCCAGTATACCACAGCTGGCTGGCTGCGTCACATCCCATGGGTGTGTAGGCCCAGCGTACTGCCTGCTTGATGGCTGGTGGCCAGCAGGGCCCCATGAGGGACAGGTAGTCATCACTAAGGATTGGCAATAGAGGCTAAGCTTGTGGCTGTCCCCCGGCCTGTCCTAGGCCACAGCTCGCCATCTCATCACCACACGTTGCAACAAGGGGCGAAGGCCTGGCCCACAGTGTGGAGGGCCTGCATCTCCAGGCGGCTTGTGTCTCAGCACTGGACTCTCCCTCCCCTCTCCCACATCCTCCCCAGGACCCTCGCTAAACCTTTCACTTTTGGTCTCTCCCCTCAGGAGACACCAGGGAGGTGGGATTTGAAATCTCTGGCCCTTCCTGGGGTCTTAAGTCCTTGTCCACCCTTCCAGATGCAGACTCCTTCCCCCAAGAATCCCCTTGCTCGGAGGCACACGAGAATGAAGTGGGCTGAGTGGCCCAGGGAGAGCAGGTGAGGGTGCCCAGACTCCTGGGAAGACCCTTGGTGAGGGACCTTTGTGTTGTCACCAGCTGGATGTGATGATGAGCTTACATTTAAAGAATAAACTGTGTAGCTACACATTCATGTCTGTTCCAGGGGTCATCTCTCGTGCTAGAGTCTTGAGGCTAAGAGCACAGGGAGGGCTTCCCTGAAGAGAAGGAGGAGGGGGTGACCCACTCCAGGTGAGGGGAGTGATGTACAAAGGCTCTGGGGCAGCAGAGACAGTTAAGGAACAAAGAGGCTGCAGTGCAGAAAAATTAGTGAAAATATTCTAATGATAGCAAAAGTCAAGTTGCAATGAGGTACCATGAAAACTAAAAATACCTGGCTGGTGTAGCTCAGTGGATTGAGCACCAGCCTGCAAACCTAACAGTCACCGGTTCAATTCCTCATCAGAGTACATGCCTCGGTTGCAGGCCAGGTCCCCAGTTGGGTGAGTGCCAAGTGGCAACCAACCAGTCAATGTTTCTCTCCTCTCTCCCTTCCCTTCTAAAAATAAAATCTTAAAACCCTACAAATAAAGAAAAGCAGAAAAACCTGAAGCTGTTCACATGCAGCTGCAGGGAAACTTGCTAAAGCCGAATCCTCGAATAGCGATTCCTTTTGGACTGTACCCTAGTAGCACTGCCGCCTGACAGTCACACACGCATGTGCTCTGACCTGGTCAGCTCACTCCTGGAAACTCACCCACAAATGAGGCTGGCTGCCCAAGATGGCCCCAGAAGGGCCCCCGACACAGCATTTTTATCTCTGCCATACACAGACAACCTGGTTCAGAGTTCTCACTCCAGTAGAGCTGATCAGAGAATCAAAAAGTACAAGCGCATGTCTCGTACAAGGTGGGGCCAGCTTGGTCGGTTCTGGGACGTCCGTCTCAGGAACCTGACACAGACTGGCATTGCCACCCAAAGGGTACTTCAAGATCACCTGGGGTGCCCGATGCCTTTAAAACAGATTTTTGAACTGCAAGATGCGTGTCTGCTTTGTGAAAGGCAATTAAAATGCTCTGAAGTAATGAACACTGGGTACCCCCTTACCCCAGCCGCATCTCTCCTGCTGCCTTCCAGAAGTGGGTGGTGCACGCATGTATTCCTACTGGCACAGAAGTGTGGGGACTCCCTGTACTTTCTAAATTTTCTTGGAAATGGAGCAGCACTCAGTCTTTTTTTTTTTTTTTAAAGCTAAAGAGTAGTAACTTACTGAAATAGTCACTTATTAATGGATACTTGACTGGGTTGTGTCCCCTGAAACTCATGTCAACCTCGAACCTCAGAACAGGACCCCACTTGGAAAGAGGGTCTTGGCAGAGAGAATTCATTAAGATGAGGTTGTGGTGGGGTAGAGTGGGCCCTGGTGTCCTTGTAAGCAGCGAGGAACCTGGACACACACGCAGGGGAGGGCACGTGATGATGGAGGCATAGGTGGGGCAATGTGTCTACAAGCCAAAGGACACCAAGAATTACCAATAAATCACCAGAAGCTAGGAGAACATGGGGGCAGATTCTCCCTCACAAGTCTCAGAAGGAACTGTCCCTGCTGACACCCTGACCTTGCCCTCCAGGCCTCCAAGACTAGGAGCGAGTACACCTGGTGTTCATGCTGCCCAGTGCGCGTTGTTACAGCAGCCCCAGGAAATCCCTCGGCACCCGAATTCTCTTTGCTGTGCGACATGCGTGTTGTACCGGTGAAGAGGAGGGTCCCTAGGTGCAGGTGGGTGGGAGGAGATGCAGGGAGCAGACAATTGAAGGTGCAGCAAGCGTCTTTTATGAATTATTAGTGACACTCAGGAGAAGCCAAGCCAAAACCCAGAGGGGCCGTGTTGGCACAGGGCAGTACTCACCTGTAGAGAGGTGCCGGGAAGTCCACTTCCAGGGTCCCCTGGGGGATACAGTGCTGGGTAGCCTCCGGCCTCGGGGTCTGCATGTCTGCCTCTGGGTTCCTGGGTGCTCCTGCCTAGAGTGCCTGTGAGGCCATTGTTGACAGCAACAAAGGCCATTCTGTGTCCTGGCAATGCTGCTGGTGGCCCTGGCTCCTGGCCAGCCCACTCCCTCCCGCCCTAGCTGAGGCTGAAGGAAGGAGGTGGGGCCACACCTGAGTGGCTGGGGGCTCAGGGCTCCCCTGGCCCCCTTTCTGTATTTCCACATGGGGCCTCTGAGCCAAATGAAGCTTTGGAATTTCACTTCTGCATTCTCGGCTGCACCTTTCCAGGTGCTTAGACTTCTCCTCACCCCCACCCGGTCCTCATCTGTTTCCAAAATACACTGGAGGAAAAACCTGCAAGCAAATGTTCCCAGCAACAATTCAAAATAATCACAAAGTGGAAATCCCAATGCCCATCAGCTGGTTAGACAAAACGTAGTCCCTCCACACACTGGACTATTACTGAGCCATTTCAGGGAGTGAAGCACTGACACTTGCTACAATGTGGATGGATGGACCTTGAACACATGATAACTTGTGAGACCTTGAACTCAGTAAGAGAAGCCAGACACAAAATGCCACCGAGTGTGATTCCACTTATGTGCTATGTCCAGAGCAGGCACATCTACAGACGGGAAGTGGGTTCATGGTTGCCAGGGGCTGAGGGTGACTGCTAACAGAGATGGGTTTTCTTTTTGAGGTGATGGAAATGTTCTAGAAGCGCTGTTTGTGCCTGGCTGGTGCAGCTCAGTGGATTGAGTGCCGGCTTGTGAACCGAGGGGTTGCTGGTTCAATTCCCAGTCGGAGGTTGCAGGTTCGGTCCCCAGTTGGGATGTGCACAGAAGGAAGCCAAACGGTGTTTCTCACGTCTTTCTCCCTCCCTTCCCCTCTTTCCCAAAATAAATACAATCTTTAAAAAAATGTAAATAACATCTTTTTAAAAAAATGAGACAAAAAGTGCTGTTTGCACAACATTGTGAATGCACCAGACATCACCCAATTGTGCAGTTCAAGACGGTAAGCTCTAAGTTATGCACATTTTACCATGATTTTTAAAAATAAAATCCAGACTCTGCCTTCCATTCACCACTTGGTCCTGGCCAGTCACATCACCAGCCTGGCAGAACCTCCTCCATGGCCTGTGTCCCTGCACCAGGGGTCAGGGCCCGACACATCTTTTCTTGACTCAGTACCATACCAGGGCTCTCGCCTCCCTCAGGGTAGAGACCCAGGTCCTTCCAATGGCCCACGAGGGCCTGCATGACCTGCTCAGGCCCCTCCCTGCCTCACTTTCTCCCCCCACTCACTCATTCTGCTTCAGCCACATGGGCCTCCTCACTGTTCCTCCAACAAATCAGGTCCTGCCCTGCCCAGGACCTTTGCACAGGCTGTGCCCAGTGCCTGGAAAGCCCTCTGCCCAGGTGTCTCCCAATCGTTTTCAAGCCCTTGCTCCAGCGCAAGGTTTGCTGCAAGCCTGGCTTCAAAGGTGTCCCTTCCCAAAGCCTCCTACCTCCGTCACATAGCACACAGCTCCCTCATACCCAACAAACTCCACCAGGGCAGGTCACGGAATATGGTCTGTTCTGTAGTCCCTAGTGCCTAGGACAGGGACCTTTACCAGCAGAGAAGTGCCTAAGGTGTTCCACTGGTCTCTCGCTGCACTGGCCTCTGCCTCACCCACTACTTTCCCCAAAAAGCTACATTCAATGATCAAAGGACACAACAGAACTTGCCCCCACTCCTGCCACCCACCGACCTCCCCCAGATGAGGACACTGGATGGGAGACACCCCCACTGCTGGCTTTGGTCCTGTTAGGTGGAGATGGCAGCAGCACCTACCCTGCCTGAGAGCTCTCATATAGCCTGCAGCCCCCAGGTAGGCCCTCCCCGCACTGCCCCTACCTCACAGCACATGACCACCACCCCTGACCTGTGGCACCTCGTCCCCGGCTGGGCTGCAAGGACTGCTATGAGTGCGCACCATCCTCACCCCCACTAGACCATGGAGTCAGGGACACTGGCACCCCTCAGACAGCTCTCCCTGGGCAAACGGGTCCTTCACTCAGAGCCAGTGGTGAGCTCTTCGGCAGCTGCACAGGGTGAGGGCGTGGTAGATAAAAAACCGTTTTCTTATTAAAAAAAGAAAAAAAAAAGACAAAAATGACGACCGATTGAAACACACACACATACGCATCTATGTACAATGTCCTTGCTTGAGGCTGTGGCACGCAGGTGCTGGGATGGGGCCAAAGAGGCAGGGTCCCACCCTTCCCCAAAGCCCAAGCAGGTCCAGCTGATGGTCCCTCCTAAATGAAGGTTTTAAAAGCTGAGACGCCCGTCACCCCCAGGCACAGTGGGTGGCCTGTGCCCTCCCCAGCCAGCCTCAAACATTTCTGGAACCCATCTACAAAACGCAAACCAAACCGAAGTCACAAATACATATATACACATGCACACGTGTGGCCGACTGCAGGGGAGGGGACACTGGAGGAGGGGGCCTTGAAGCAGAGCCAGGGTGACCCCCACCTCACCCTACAACTGGGTCTACCACTCTCCCTCCCAAATTTCTCCAGGTCTGGTAATGAGGCGGTATTCAGGTACAGCTTGGGCAGAGTACAACAGCATGGGGGCAGGGGCAGGGAAAATCTGGGAGCTTTTGGAGGCCAGTGAGTACCCCCTCCCCGGTGTCCCCGTGGCTGTGGGCACAGATGGTGCATGATGGGACAGCTTGATGGAGGAGGGCGAGGAACCACCCTTAGGTTGCCTGGATCTGTACACTCAACAAGGCACAGGCACTCCAGTCCTGCTGGTGACAGCTCAGCTGTGACCCCGTTAGTGACGAGGACAGTACAGGGTCAGGGCAAGCACATGACGGTAAGTGGACCAAACTTCAGTTTTCCTTGAACAAGTCCATCTCGAGTTGACCTGCTCTGGTGCACAGCCTGCCTGGGGCTTGCCCCTGACACCTGGCTCCTAGCAAAGTCACTGGGACAGCTGCCAGCATGGGGGCGGCAGAGGCGGCCACAGAGAGACCTAGCAGGAGGGTCCTGTCGATCCATGGGCTGACCTGGACCATCCTACTGATGGGCCCTTCCCTGGCTGACCGGCTTGGCATCCAGCTGTCTGTCCTGTTGCAGGTGTGGGTGGTGGCAGTAGTGGTGAACCCATGCTTCTGAGAAGAGCATGCAGCCCGACAAGGTGGTGATGGACACAAAGGGAAGCAGGCAGGGGTCCAGAGAGGCGTCCGTCCCCATCCTAGTGTCAGAGCCGGGGCCATGGAGCTACCCAGTTGGAGGGAGCTGGACAACCTGCCGGTGCCCGACTACATCCCCGCCCCAAACACCGCTGACAGGGTTCGCAATCAGGCTTTAATGAGAATCTTCAGGGTCTCTCTGGGCCCGGCTTCCCGCCCACCCCGGCTGCTTCCTCCGGGGACATGTGCGGGGAGGGAGGGTCATGCATGTGATGACAGGTGGTGCTCCGCTGCCCTGATGGCTCGGCCCATGGTTTACCGGATTCTGGTGAAGAGGTTGAGAACGGACACAGATTCCTGCAGGGCACACAGGAGGGAAAGCTGAGCGCAGCTGCGGGAAACAGGCTTTGGGCCAGAGGAGGAGCTGAGTAGGCACCACTGCTCTCTGGTGCCCTGAGCACCAGGCTTGGGGTGCAGAGTGGGGCAGGCGTGGAGAGAGGGGTGCAGGGGTCCCAGGGGAAAGTTTTAGCAGAGTCTGGTGAACAGGGCTGCTCAAGTGGCAGTGGAGACAGTAGCCCCCAGGGTGGGCCGAGGGGGTGTGCATGGGGAAAACACCTGGCACTGATACCGACCCACTTTACCTTTGTCGAACGAGTTTTGCTAAAGACATTCCAGAACCTCAGGGTTTCGTCGCCAGCACCAGTGACGATGGCCTCTCCATCCGGAGACATGGCCTGTGGGAGGAGACCCTCAGTGTACTTGTGCCCTGCAACTGGCCCCAGGGATGGCATCAATGATGGGAGGGGAGTGCTGGGGGCTGGGTTCCTACTAAAGCCAAAACACAGGACACCCCCACCCCAACCCAGGAGGGCAAGTCTGTTCTGTGCACTCGGGCAAAAGATACAAGTTAAGCACATAACATTTCTTCCACAAAGAAAGAAAAACCCCTGAGGAGGGACTGTGTTTGAGGAGGGGCTCCCCTACCCAGCACATGCAAGTAAGTATGTGATGAACTGTTCTCGGAGATGAAAAATAGTTGAATGGGGATTAATTGGGCTTCCTCATACACATAATCTGGTAAAAATAAACGAACGTGTGGAGATTGCCAGCAGGGCAGGGCTGCCCTTCCATACAGGGCCTGGGAGTTCAGGAAGGAAGACTCAAAAAGTGATGAGACACAACCAATGTTTGAAAGCAGAACGAACTCGCCCTGTTGTTGGGTCCAGACACAGGAGCTGGCCCAGACGACCCCGCCCCTCACCTCACAGACCTAGGCCGGGGAGGCTGCTGGTTAGGTCTGCACCCTGCCTTCCCCGAGGTCTTGCGCTGAGTCTGGGACCCACCAGTGCAGACTCACCAGGTACAGAACCCGGTAGGAGTGCCCAGTCAACTTGGCCACCTGGGTCAGGGATGGGTACTTCCAGACCAGGATCTGGTTCTGTGAATAGCCGTGCGTGCTCACCTGGGAGATGGAGAGGGCGCTGTTAGAGCCTGGGGCTTGCCTCCCATGACCACAGGGCTCACACAAAAGCCTGTCTACTACCCCTGATGCACTCGTTGAAAAGCAAAGACCAGACCCTTGCCCTCGGACTCTGGTTGATGAGTGGAGGGTGACAGGAAGCTATCACTGCACCCAAAGCTCAGGCAGCCTCTACTGGTGGTCAGTAGGCATGGGTGCCTGATCAGGGATAGCCACTTCCAGACTGTGGTTCTATGACCTGGGTGGCAGGGGCCAGGCTTCACCCCAGGACCCCAGGGAGGTCTTGCTGGGCCTCTACACTTTCTCCTGCATGCCACAAGGTGTGCCCAATACTCACCAGCTCATTGGCATGCTTGGACCAGGCCAGGTTGCACACCTGGGAGCCTGTGTCAATGCACTGCAGCGGCTGCCCTGTGAGTGTGTTCCAGAAACGGATGCAGCGGTCGGCCGTGCCACCGCCAGATGCCAGAAGCCCATGCTGGTGTGGGGACCAGGCTATGGCTTTCACGGCTGCCAGATGCTCTGTGTACTGCTGCACAGGACTCAGGCTTGAGTGGTTCCAGACCAGCAGCTGGGGGGGGGGGGCAGCAGCTGTGAGGCCCCCAGCGGCTATGGTCCCTAGGCAAACCCCCAAGGGGAAGATGAATGGCCTCACCCCAACCTGTTACGGTCCTCCCTTGGGGGCATACCCTTGTCATCCCTGCTCTATGGATGGGGGCTGGGCACCTGGGGGGGTCAATCTGGAGGCCGGGACAGTGAGGGGCTCAGGGAGTCTACCTTGTTGTCATTTCCTCCTGAGGCGAGGAGCTGGTGGTCTGTGGACCACTTGAGCCCGCACACCTCCTGCCGGTGGCCCTGCAGTCGCCGTTCCGACTGCAGGGGTGGGGTGCGGATGTCCCTTTGCAGGATCATGCGATCCCGACTCCCAGACGAGAGCTGGTCAGCGTTCCAGGCCAGTGCCCCTAGAGGCCAGGCAGAAGGCGGGGTGAGGCCAAGGCCTGGCCTCTTGGGAACAGCATACTCTGGGAATCATCACTTTCTTGTGCCTAGTGTCACTCCCATCCCCTGGGATCACAGCTACCCGTCAGGACCCTAGGCTCCTCACCGACACGTGCTGTGTGGCCTTCCAGCATGGAGAGCTTCTTCCCTGCAGCTGCGTCCCAGATCTGCACGAAGCCCTTATGTGTGCCAACAGCCACCAGGTTCCCCTAGGACCAAGGACCCGGGAGAGAACAGGCATCAGCCCATGGGGTGGAGACAGACTCCCCGGGTTGTCCTCTCCTCCCTCCTTGCTGCAGGACCTTGGGGCCATTTCTTTAAAAGATCTTTAATACATGTCCCCTCGTGTCAAGGGGACAGCCCTGCCCCTTCCCTTCCCCCAACTTCCTGGTTAGATGGTCATAGAGAGCATGAATTTGTCAAAATCCAGCCAACACACACTTAAGACCCACACACCTCAATGTGTGGACTCGCCTGCCTGAACCCAGGCTGCCTGCTGGCTGGCATGGAGGGGATGGAGCTCTGTGGGGGCTGTGGCCAACCCTGTGTCTCTCCACCTGGCAGCCCTGCCAGCAACCCTGCCATTGTAACAATCTCTACCAGGCTGGGGACAGGTGAGATGCAGACATCACTCTGGGGCGTGGACAAGACTACCAGGCGGGGTTCTGGCTACTCTGGGTCCAGACCCCCAAACACTGTGGAGGGTCCTTGCTAGCAAGGCTCAGTCAGATCTCCCCTGCCCAGCCCTGCCCAGCCAGGAAGCAAGCCCTGTGTACTGACCCGCTCAGACCAGCCCACGGAGGTCACTGAGTCCCCTTCCACAGAAAGGTCACAGAGTCGGGTCACCTGTGGGAAGGAGGGAGCAGTTGGTGTGCGCCGTTGTGCTGTCTGCCGATCCTTCAAGGTCCTGACCATCCACTCGTCCATTCATCCATCTGTTCATTCATTCATTCACTCAGTCACACCTCAGGCCCATGGGCACTGGTGTCAGTGCTGGGACTTGAGATAATGAAGCTGGGGTGCCCAGGAAGCTGAAGGCTGCAAGGGGACACATGGCAGCATAGGGATGAGTGACTGCCAAGTCTGGGGAAGGATCCTCAGGTGATGGCTTCACACAGATGCATCACACACTCAGGGGTGTGTCCAACAGGTGGCAGTCCTCTCTAGGGGGAATCACCTTCTCCTGAACCCACGTGCATTAATTTCTGGAAATGCACCCCCTGCCCCATGGTGTTTTCATAGGTCTGAGCCTATGGTGGGCCTGGCAGCAGCTCAGAGTTAGTGCTGCGAGTGGGGTGGGGCAGCTCCCAGGCTCAGCCTGGCCCCAACACCTACCTCCCCTCCTCTGCAGACACTGGCAGAGGCCAAACTGGAAGAGCAAGGGCTCTGCATCATTGCAGGAGACAGACCACAGCAGGAGGGGCACAGGGGGCCCCACTCACACCTGCTGACTGACTACTTCTGAGTTCCAGTCTGTCCTCGGAGGTAGGCCTCAGGGATGAGAGGACAGCGCAGTGTTGCTCTGGGCTCAGGAGCACCAGCCACGCTCATCCTTTGCACAGGCCAGCCTGGCTCAGCTACTGGAAGCTGTGCCCCCAACCCTGAGGCACACACATGCAAGTACTTGTACACACATTTGCAGGCACCAGGGCACCCACCTGGCTGGTACAGGCACTCCACAGGTACACGCAGGTGCCCAGACCCACGCTGAGCACATTGAGAGATGACCAATCCACCAGATTCAGGTAGAAGTCATCCTGAAGCTCAGGTGCATCCAGAACCTTGAAGGGGATTTTGGAGATTTTGCGGGTGGGTTTCCGGGGCGACCGCAGTAACTTCTGACTATAGGGAGAGCCAAGACAGTGATTTTATGTCAATCACACATGGTTAGCAATACTCCTTGGCTAATGTTACTACCCCTGGTTCACATCAGTCCTTAGTGTATCTTCTCCCACTCATCCTGGTCCTCTGTCCACGTGATCCTTAAACTGTGGGTGCCCCCATGGACATAAGCACTTCACCCTCAGGTGTTTGGCCACCCCAAATCTCAAGAGCCACACTGTTCCCTCTGCTTTGCACCTCCAACAGAGGGTTCTCCCTGACTCCCCTTCCCCAGTTTGGACCTAAAGCCTTCAGGCTGACAGTGTGCCCCGGTGAGGGGTCTTAGGACTAACTGCAGCTCTTACATACTGCCCAGCTGCCCACCCAGCCCTGTCCCCAGCTCTCAAAGACCCAGACTTACCTTTTGTTGCTGACGGGGGACAAAGAGTAGGGAGACACGTCATTGCCGTCATCAGGGCTTGAGCGCTTGGTGCTGAGGGAATACTGGGTGGGGGGTACACACCTACTGAGTGGACACCCTGGCCCCAGAGCTCAGGACCCTCAGACCCCAAAGCTTGGGTACCCTGAGTTGCTGGTGTTTGGGTGGGAGAGTGAGGTTTGGTGCTCATCCTAACCAGGAGGACCTCTAACTGGGGTGTCCTGGGTTCCAGGAACTCAGAGAAGCAAACCAGGCCTCCCCTTGGCAGTGACTGCCAGCATGCTCCTGCACCCTTGAAGCCACCAGCCCCTTAGCCACCTTGAGGGACTAAAGCCAGGCCCTTTCCAACACGGCTAGGGGCCCCCATGACCTGGGATAGCATGAACATGCTCTGTGGGGCAGCTCTACTGAGGCCACTGCCCCTTCACCCTGCACTTGGGCACCTGCCCCAGGGTCACCTTTGTCTCAGTAGGCATCCAGGAGGGCCACAGGGCAAGCCTTGGGGTTAAAAGGGCTTGGCGCTGCCTTCTCCCTCCCTCTCTGGGGTTCAAGGGCCCCAGCCGGGATGGTGGTCAAAGAGGAGAAACCCAGGAAGGCTAGGCCTGCGTGGCCTGAAGGAACTGCCACACAGCACAGGCAGCTAGGGGTGAGGGTTAAGACTAGGTCAGTCACGGAGGACAGGGATCTCTGTCCCCAGCAGGAAGCTGTAGTCAGCGTGGGTACAGCAGCAGGCTTACCGTGAAGAGGCCCTTCTTCTCAGGCGTGGAGGGCTGCAGCCTGCGGTCCTCTGTCTGTGGGTCCTGCACCTTCTCGATGCCAGCCCCTAGCAGCTCATTCTTCAGCAGGGCCGAGTAGGCCAAGCCATCTGCAGGTACCAATCACATTGAGAGGCTGGGTGGGACCAGGTAAGGGGGTGAAACAGAGGGTCTGGGGCCCTGACTCCTGACCTTTGCCATTGTCTGAGGTGGCATCCTTGGCTTTCCGGTTCTGGCTGGGAGACTTCTCATTTTCCTGTGGGAGGAAGACGGAGAGGAGGGAGGACTGAGCTGGAACGGCCTGGCCCCGCCCCAAGCGGCAGAGTTGGTGGTACCTCTCCCCCCAGCCTCTGCCCTCACATTGATCCTGTGGAAATTGACACTCCAGTTGGCACCGGCTCTTGAGGGGATGAAGCGGTCCCCGTGCTTGCTGGGGGAGGACACAGGGGAGTTGGCAGGTGTCAGGGTCCGCCGCATCTCCGAGACCTGAAAGGATGGCAGGGTGAGGCTGAGTGGGAGCTTCCAGCCTGACCCACTCTGCCTGCTGCACTTGTCCTCTGGCTGCTGAATGAGGGGTTCAATCTTGGAAACTCAAGGGGCAGAGGTAAAACATTTGGGTAAATAACTCATATGCGGGACCCTGCTGGCAGGTTTGTGAGGCAGAAGAGGTCAGTCTGTACTTGGGTGCTTCCCAACAGCAAAACATCAGCACACCACAAGGTGGCTGTTTGTTTCTGAGCAACCACAGGGAACAGACAGTTAAACATTTACGCCCCGCCACCCCCACTTCCCACACACGGGGGACCTTCTCCCACAGAACGACCAGCCAACCACCGAACCAAGTTGTGAAGGCAGCGCACTGCTTCTGGCCAACCCTCTGACTCCACTTAATGGGCTGGCAGATGTTCTTTTTTTTCAAAGATTTTATTTATACATTTTTAGAGACAGGGGAAGAGAAGGAGAAAGGGAGAGAGATATCGATGTGTGGTTGTCTCTCATGTGCCCCATACCAGGGACCTGGCCTCTAACCCAGGCATGTGCCCCAACTGGGAATCGAACCAGTGACCCCTTGGTTTGCAACCCACATTCCATCCACTGAGCCACACCAGCCAGGCCAAATGTTCTTAATCTATAATCAACTTGCTGTGGGTTGAACTGTCTCTCCCAAAAGGGCATATTGAAGTCCTAACCCCTGGTACCTGGGATGAGATCTTATTTGGAAATAGTGTCTACAGACTGAATCAAGTTAGGAGGAGGTTACACTGGAGCAGGGTGCACTCTTTTATTTTTTTGTTTCATCAATGTTTATTATTTTTAATTTTTTTATTGATTATGCCATTACATTTGTTCTATTCCCCCCGTTCCCCTCCACCCTGCACACCCCTCCCTCACCATTCCCCCCCTTCAGTTCATGAACACGTGTCTCAAGTTCTTTAGATTCTGTATTTCCCATACTATTCTTACCCTCCCCCTATCTATTTTCTATCTGTCTATGCTACTTATTTTCTGTACCTTCTCCCCCTTTCTCCTCCTCCCACTCCCCGGTTGCTAACCCTCCATGTGATCTTCATTTCTATGGTTCACTCCTGATCTAGCTGTCCTCTTAATTTGCTTTTGTTTTAGGTGCGGTTGTTAATAACTGTGAGTTTGCTGTCCTTTCACTGTTCATATTTTTTATTTTCTTTTTCTTAGGTAAATCCCTTTAACATTTCATATAATAAGGGCTTGGTGATGATGAACCCCTTGAATTTGGTCTTATCTGAGAACCACTTTATCTGTCCTTCCATTCTAAATGAAAACTTTGCTGGATAGAGCAATCTTGGTTGTAGGTCTTTGGTTTTCATGACTTGGAATACCTCTTTCCAGCCCCTTCTTGCCTGTAAGGTCTCTTTTGAGAAATCAGCTGACAGTCTGATGGGAACTCCTTTGTAGGTGACAGTCCCATTATCTCTTGCTGCTTCTAGGATTGTCTCCTTAATTTTAATCTTGGCTAATGCAATTATGAAGTGTCTTGGTGTGTTCCTTCTTGGGTCCAACTTCTTTGGGACTCTGAGCTTCCTGGATTTCCTGGAAGTCTATTTCCTTTGCCAGAATGGGGAAGTTCTCTTTTATTATTTGTTCAAGTAAGGTTTCCACTCGTGACTGTTCCTCTTCCCCTTCTGGTACCCCTATAATTCGAATGTTGGAACGTTTAAAGATGTCCTGGAGGTTCCTAAGCCTCTCCTCATTTTTTTTAATTCTTGTTTCTTTATCTTGTTTCTTTTCTGTTTGGTCATTTTTTCCTTCCTTCTGGTCCGCTCCCTTAATTTGAGTCCCAGTTTTCTTTCCATTACTATTGGTTTCCTGTGCATTACCATTCATTTCAATTAGTTTAGCCTTCATATGTTCCTCTAATTTGTGACTAAAATCAACCAGTTCTGTGAGGATCTGGATCACCAGTGTTTTGAACTGTGCATCTGATAGTTTGGCTATTTCTTCATCACTTAGATTTATTGGCTCTGGGGCTCTGAGTTGTTCTTGAGCCACGTTTTTATCTGTTTGTGTCTGTTACATATGAGGAGCAGAGCCTTAGTTGTTCACCAGGGCACGGCCACCCAGGTAGCTGGTTTGTGATGCTGTATGTGGGGGCAGGGTCACAAAGAGGGAGCAATGGTGGTCCTCTCCGCTCGCCCAGTCTGTCCCACCGCTCGCCCCCACCTGTTCATCTGAGCGGAAATGTGAGAGCCCGCCGCCCTGCGCCGTGTGGTCTCAATGCTCGCCTCTTCACTGTTTTATCTGCACACAAATGCTCGACCAATAGCAGACAGCCAGCCGCGCCTCTTCCCTGTGTCCGCCCGTGGCTAGTCCGCACCTGGGATCCGCATCTTTGGCTGCTGGTGTACCACCCCAGTCGGGGATCATTTTGGCCAACCCGCTCCACTGCTGGCTTCGCCCCTCTTACCGGTTTAGCTGAGCATTTCGTTGTTTTCGGACTCCGTATTGTCGATTTTCTGTGTAGTTTGGTTGCATTTATTGTTGTTAAAACTTTGTTGTTTTTAGATTCGATCGTGTGCGGACGCAAGGTGTTTCCACCTACGCTTCCATCTTGGCGGAAGTGTCAGGGTACACTCTTAAAACGAATGCCTCGTGTCCTTATGAGAGCCGGAGGCATGATGCAGGATAAGGGATGTGAAAATGAGGCAGAGACCAAAGTGATGGGTCTAAAAGCCAAGGATTAGCCCTGGCTGAGTGACTCAGTTGGTTACAGCATCGTCCTGATACACCAAGGTTGTGGGTTTGATCCCTAGTCAGGGCACATACGAGAAGCAACCAATGAATGAATCAATAAGTGGAACAACAAATCGATGTTTTTTCTTCTCTCTTCCAATAAATTAAAAGCCAAAAATTTCCAGCAACATCAGAAGCTTGAAGAGACAGGAAGGATCCTCCCCAGGCTCCTGAGCTCTGTCACTCTCACCCTTACAGGCTCCGTGTCCCAGCACCCTGTTCCCTCCCACGTCATCCTGGTTACACCCAGGCCAACTCCCTTGAACAAGTTGTGGGGCTAGAGCTAAACCCCAGCTTTGCGATGCTGGGCCCTTCAATGTCCAGTCTGGAAAATGGGAAGGTGGCTCACATTCTGTCATCCCCAATCGGTCCTAACTACGGCCCCACAGGAAACACCAGTGCCCCCTGAGGACTGGGAGGCACAGGCGCTATTAGAATAAGCAGCCAGGGAGGTATACTGAAGCACTGATGGGAATTCACACTGAGGTTGGCCGTGGCATCCCCATGGAGGAGTTCTGGGGGAGGATTTTTAAAAGATACTATTTATTTTTAGAGAAAGGAGAAGGGAGGGAGAAAAACATCCACATGAGAAACATCGATAGGTTGCCTCTCATATGTGCCCCATCTGGGGGCCAAGCCAACAATCTAGGCATGTGGCCTGACTCAGAATCGAACCAGCGACCTTTCACTTTGCAGGATGATACCCAACTAACTGAGCCACACAGGTCAGGGTCAGGGTGGGAAGATGTTTTTCACCTGCACAGCACCTCCTTCTGTTTGCTAAGGGCTGAAGCTCAGGGGCCAACCATACCCCCACCCTGTCTCCCGACCATCTCTACCAGGCCAGGCCAGGCCAGGCCAATACTGGTAGGGCTGACTGCCAGGTACTCACACAGGGCATCGTATTCTCATTCTGGATGACGATCTGCCGGAGGAGACGCCGCTCATAGTCCTGGTCCATGGTGAGGTGAGGCAGGGCAGGTATGGCTGCTGACCAAGTCAGCCTGCCAAGTTCTGCCAGCCAAAGTCAGCCTGGGGCAGGAAGGACAGGACAGCTCAGCATCATGGGCAGTAGTCTCCACCACCACCTGGCGACCACAGGGCACTCCTTTGGAACAGCTGAGGCCCCCTACCATGTGACAGGGTTCTCCCTCCCAGGAGCCCAGAGCTCAGGCCTGATTACCCCACAGGCCCTGGAAGTCACAGGGGGGTGCAACTGAGACAAACAGGACTGCTCTCTGCATCCCCTGCAGGGCCGCCCAGACGGGACCCTTTACTTCTGTCCTGGCTATAAGGGCAAGGCTCCCCCATCCCTGCCCCCAAGACCTTGCCCCAGGTCCCCTCCCCCTCCATCCCAGGTCCCCCATCTTATTGCTTTCCTGTTTCAGATCCTCTGAGGCCATGGGCCACCCAGGGGTTGTGTGGCCTGAGAGGGGGGTACGAGGCTGGGAGGTACCACTGAGGGTTCTTCCTCAGCAGGCTAGCCTGTGCATCCTGACGTACAAAATAGATGTGGGTCAATATGTATCACAGGAGTTTGCCCGGGCTGATGAAGACCAAAGAAATCGGCCTCCAGCTCCCGCTGAGTTCTGCCCAAACCAGGGAGGCCTCTGAGGAAGAGGAAGGCTCACCAGCAAAAGGAGGCTGGAAAACAACATTCTAGAGAGGAAAGAACAGGTGTGAGGAAGGGCTGTATGCATTGCATTCTAGGATGGGGCAGAGGTGAGTGTCAGGCTCAGAGAGAAGGGCTGTTCTCTGCCGCGAGGATGGCAAATCAGGACCCAGGCACAAGCCAGACCCACAGCCACACCTCTGGCTGCTTTCAGAAGAAAATGTTTGCCAGTCCAGAAGGACCTCCACCAAGTGGTGGAGACCTCAGCAAACAGGAGGGGAGGAATCCTCTCAAGGCACTGCCGAGCCCGGAGGGTGAAGCGGGTTTCCAGGACAGAGCCTGGCACAGAAGGGGCTCAGCAGACTGCAGCCTCTTGCTGCAGGCTGCTCTGTACCCCAGAATCCCCTCACAGTCACTGTTCCTTTGCTCTTCTGGCTGGAGCCTGAAGGCTGTGAGATGTTGAGGCGGGTCTCTCCGACGGATTCCTGAGCCCATCACAGAGACCACATATACTGTGTGGCCAAATACCAGCTCTAGTCTGCCAGGTCCTTGTCCCCCACTTTCATTAATGGACACATGGGGCTGCCTTGATGCGGCCCAATCCTGAAGCCAGATGCTTGGTCAGAACACAGCACAAAGCCACTGGTCATCACAGTATGTGCCTGCCACGCTCCATGTTAGTGGGCTTGCACCTTTTATCTCGGGCTCCCCCTGCATGGTATCGTGAACCGGGTGCCCACACCCTCATGCACATCAGGATGTGAAGACCGAGGGGCAGCAACACCCCAGTGTGCCTGCAGCCCTCCCTCCACAGTCTAGAGCCCTTCTGAGCCTGTACTAGCCTGCAGCCCCAAGTCCCATAGTCCCCCACCTCACCAGACAGCAGGCTTCCTGCTTTAGTGAGAAAAGTGGAAGCACGGCACTTCAGCCCCCCTTCCATCTTGGATAAACTTTTGGGAGCAGCCACCCCTTCTTGGCTACATTCTTTCTGTCCTTTCCACCTACCCTGCCCTAGCAGAGGTCCCCAGACACATTTTAGTCCATTGTGGCCACAGGACAATCTCCTGAAAGGGCTGATGGCTGTCTCCCTCCTTCGGGCCCTCCTTACCCCTTCAGGGGCTGGGGTCACACCCCCAACCTCATCCTCCTCCTCCTCCAGCCCAGCCCAGCCCAGCCCAGCCCTGTGTAGCTCGAAGTCCACCGGGTTGCCCTGAGATGTACCTGCCTTCTCCTTCACCCCGCATGTTCCCTCAAATGCCTAGGCTTTGCCCAGCAACTCCTCAAAGTGTGCCCTCACCACACCTGACGGCTCCTGTCGCAGCAGAGCCACACGTGGGATACGGAGACGCCTGTGTCTGTCCCAGATGGAGACACCTGTTCACCTGTTCAAAGGACAGTTTCCCAAGGGCAGGCCCAAATCACCTCAATGACCACTGCACCGGGCTGCATGGAAACCAGAGCCAAGCTCTAGGTCCACCTTGACCGAGCATCGTTTGAGTGGGGTCCACAGGGACTGGACACAAAAAGGAGCTGCCACAGCTCTGTTCTACTAAGTTCTGACCATCACCAGGCGCTCTCCCAGAGGTGGGCCAGTTGATTTCCCCCCGCCTTGCAGATTAAAAAATGAGGCTCAGAGCGGCTAGCTAACTTCCCCTGCTGGTACTGCCTGGGACCTCACCTGCCACCCACCAGACAGTGAGCCCAGGCTGGAGGCCATCATGCCTTGGTCCCTCTGGTCAGCAGCCACCTCTCTCTATGTCTTTCAAACACATTGCAAGCCACCAAGCTACTGCTACTGAAAACGAACTGTTCCAGACAGAGCGAGCAGCTCGTTTTCCCCAGGCAGGGAGGCTCAGGGCCAGTGGGGTCTGCAGGAGTGAGAGGCCTCCCCAGGAAATGACCTAGGGGCCTCAGTGCAGGGACCAGTTACACTGTGGGTGACAGTTATTTAACCTTCTTGGCCCAGATGAGCTCCGTTCCCATGGAGACTACCTCCATTCACAGACCAACAGCACCACACTGAGGCCAGTGGGGCCGGTCTGCTTCAAAAAGGACAGCGGGCCCCAGACCATGGCTGGGACGTGCTCCACACACCAGAAATGAAGCGGTCTAAAATGCTGCAGTCCCCTCAGAGACAGAGAGTGAGAGACTAGCTTCCCAGGGCGAGTTAAGAAGCTCAGTGCCACACAGCTGGCTGAGTGCTACATCTGAGTCTAGAACATATGTCCAGTGTGGTGTCCTCTCCTGTTACCAGCGCATCAGCTGCCCCTCTGCCTGCCTGCTACATTTGGATGTGGCCACCTACAGAAGCCCATGCAGTGGGCAGCGTCTCACCATTCAGACTTGGCCGAAGAGGGCCAGAGTGTTTCCAGAAATTCACCCACACTTGTAAGGTCTTAGTCCCTGGGACCTGTGAACATGTTCTTTCACATGGCAAAAGGAACTTTGCAGATGGAATTAAGTCAAGATCCCTAAGATGGGGGATGATCCTGGATTAGGCAAAGGATTCAACGTCCTCACAGGGTCCTTGTAAGAGAGAAGGAGGGTAGGGTCAGAGTCAGAGATGGAAGAGGCAGAGCTGCTGGCTGTGAGGACGGAGGAAGAGGCCACGAGCCAGAGGTACGGTGCCTCTAGAACTGGAAACGGCTGAAAACTATTTTCCCCTGGAGCCTCGGGAAGGGCCCACCCTGCCCACGCCCGAGACAGTCTCAGCCCTGTAGGACCCATGTTGGACCCTGGTCTCCATGACTGAGGTAAGTTCATGCTGTTTTAAGCCAACAAGTGTGCGGTGACTTGTTACAGCAGCTGCAGGACACACACACTGAGTAGGGCAGAGGGAGGTGGTGGCCACACCGTGGAGTTCCTTCCCAGTTCTCTCTAGGGGGTGCTACCGAGAGGCTTTCTGAGACACCTGTGCTTAACACAGGCCCTCGGGGCCCTCTCTCTGCCCGGCCCTGTGTGGCCCACTGAGGACAGCCGGCCAATCTTCTGTCTCCCTTTTCCCTCCATAACCCCCACTCCCCCAACTTCCAAGATCCCTGCGTTTGTCAAAGCGGCACTGGGTCTTCATTCCACCAACACACATATTTTCTTGTGCCTGCCCAGAGGCCTGGGGCAAGAGCCAGGGTTGAACAGGCAAGGAGATGGACGTGGTCCCACCCTCCTGAGCTCTTTCTGAATCAGAGGCAGCAGGCCAGAAACATGGAACTAGGTGGAGAATGATTTCAGGTGGTGGCACCTGCTACTGTGGAGCCCATTTAAAAAGTAGCTCTAACATCCAGCTATCTAAGAAAGGCTAAGTTGGAGAGGGTGGGGATGGAGCACTAGATCCCAGCACCTAGCCTGGGAGGGTCTCTCCAAGACCAGGTACCCTTGGGGTTGCAGGCATGGTGGAGGGGCTCTAGAACTAATTCTTCCCAGGCTCTGACCTGGTATACGCAGGTAACATCTCTGACAGAATGAGCCTTCCTGCCACCCTCGGGAGCACCCTGCCCCCACACCCCTCACCAGGTTTTCTTGATGAGGAAGGAAGTGGAGCGGGGCACAGACAAGATGGGTACAGACCAAGATCTCAGGAGAACGGCACTAGCAGGTCCAACCAGCCACAGACTCACACCCATACCTGCCCAGCAGCCTAGAGACCCTGCTCCAGCCTGACTGCGGAGCCAAGGCCTAGAGCTCCTCCACTCTGCAGACCAGCTAATTTGAGAGCACTGAAGGCTGTCCCAGTCCAAGGACTGGGACCTCAGGGGACACCCACACTTCGGCGCCAGTTTGGGGACCACTCCCTTCCACTTCCTCTAAGATTGCTGCTTGCTGCATCACAGAAGAACAAAAGACCCCAAAGCTGTAAGAGAAAAGGCTGGTCGATTAATCACCAGAGAAATAAAAAGTGTCCATAAGGCAAAGACACCACATACAACGTTTTAATAAAAGACAATTAGGAAAAATATCTATCCCCCGGAGGACTTACCGAAGTGGCACAAGACATGAATAACCGCCCCTGGAAAAAGCGCTCACCCTCACTCACTGTTGGAGAAGGCAGTTCCACCTGCCAGCCTCCAGTGATTCTGAGATTAGGGGACACGCCCTTGCCACTAATGCAAGGGGACTGCTTGTCTGCACTGTTGGCAGGAGCTGAAACTAGCACAACTTCTAAGGAAGGCAGTTTGGCAACTGCTTGCAAAACCTAAAAAAGCACATATTTTCAATGTCGTGTTTCTACTTCTAAGAATTTGCCCTCAGCAACTCCAGGCGCGTGTATGCAAAACTCCACGCACGGCGCTACTCCATGCAGACAGCTTATGAGAGCAGGCCTCAAGAAATGATCTTGGCAGCTGCCCTGAGGGCAGGAGACACTGCAGCACAAAGGGCAGGCCTCAGGGTCTTGGGGACCCACTGCCTGTGAGAGCAGCACTGT